ATATATATATATATATATATATATATATATATATATATATATATATATATATATATATATAGACATATAACATATATGTATATCAAATCTTTATTTTACTAAAAAATTAAGTGCTTATCTAAAAAGCTGGCTTACACGGAACATCTGAGTAGCGGTGAGCTAAGAAAAAGAGATTTGACATCAAGAGAGCATTCTTATGACTTCAGTTGTTGAAATACACAAATTTTAATTATTGCCTTAAATAAAGGATATATTTGAACACTATAAAATGGATGAATCACATTTTTAGTTGCATTTTCACAATGAAAAGGAAACACTAATGTTTAATATTAAATTTTCCGGATCAGTTCATAACGAACCGCTATAAAACTAACAAACCATGCGAAATCCATATTTTGCAACTTTCGGGTGTTCTGGTTAGCGTTTCTGCGGATTTATGCTTGTCATTACTTTCATACGATCAACTGTTGATGTGAAAGTCCTTTATAATAGGGAGTACTAATGTAGAATAGATGCAGTCACATAGGATAAACTATCAGTTGTTAGCCCATTCACATATCTGGACACCAGTGAAGGATCAGAAGTTAAGACTTACCCTTTACCTTCTCTTTATTTTCTTCAGATATTTATTTCAAACAAGGATTAATTGAAAATCCGTTATGATAGTTAATGCTAAAAGAGGAGCCTTTGAAAGCTTCAGGAAACGGACAAAAATGTATCGAAATATAGCTAAAAGGACAACTTAAAATTTCGATTTTTCTTCGCACAACACTATTATTGGATGACCCAGAAAGTCTGTAGTGACAGTGAAAAAGTATTTGACTCAATTTCCAATAACTTAGTGATTAGAAACTAGAAATGTCATTACTGAGTTAAAAGGAATGTTTGTTCAAAATGCTTCAAAATATTCAAGGATTTTCAAGTCTTCAGCAATATTTATGATCTCACAGAATTTTCTGATAATTTGAATATTCACAAATAAAAAAAGCATGAAAAAGCTTTATACCTATAAAACCGTTAACGGGTTTTTGGTTTTCGCATTTATTGCTTTTTGATAATTAAACTGTGGCAAGTCTAAATTGATAAAAATATTATGCTTAAGGCATAATTTTCCGATATGTGGCCGAGAAGCTTTCTGTTCCTCTAGCTGTTTCGGCACGGATCTTCATTATCATGTGATGGAAGTCCAGAATCTCAAATCGTCGCTCGAACTATAAATGTAAGTTTAAATTAAATATGCGCATAATGAAGCTTCAAGCAAGCGAAAAAAAATTCTAGAAGTAGTAAGAAGTTAGTCAAAGATTACTGCATTCAACTGTTAAGGATATGCGCATTCTTACAAGTTATTCTGGCGCTGTATGCCAGACCACTATTGAGAGACCACTACCGTCTTTTTATATTTTATTGCACTTTCTATTTTTGCTTCAGTTAATAGCAATAGTGTTGCTATCAGTGATGGAAGAAAAAGCAAAATGTGTGTCGTATATTCAACCAAGTAGAAGGATTACCGCATACAGTACCATATTGTTTTAATTATCTGTTATTATCAGCTAAAGTAAGTCAGTGCTTAAAGCATGAATCAACTGTGTTGCATTGGTCTTGGACAAAATATTTTAAAAAAAAAACTTTTTTATGAAAAAGATATATATGAAGAGTACCTCTCGAATATCTAACTCGATACCATTGCTTCCAACTGAAAACGTTCGGCGCAAAAATTGCTTCAAATGAAATGTGATTTTACGGCCTACCACTGTTCCTTGTTCCATCATCGAGTAACCTAGAAGGTGTATTTTATTAAAAAATATAGTTGAATCTTTCAAGTCTTGACAGACTTTGATGGATTATGAAAGTGTATGCAATACTCTCGATTAATCAAATAATGCCGTACACAGTTGAAATAAGCATAATCCGGAAATTTTCGCATATTAATGATTTATTTTATATGTGATTCCATAGCGGTAAATACCTTCACTACTAGTGGTTAAATATGCGATGTGTATGCGAGGATCTCGTTTTGTTGCATTTTTTACTGGCATGAAACCATAATCCGATCTTATAATGTTCTTCTGAGAATCAAAATAGGTGTGCCTGAAAGTGTATGCCACACTTTAAGACATAAAATAATCCTTATGATATTGAAATAAAAAGAAAAAAGTAACAGAATCGAAAAGAATTTCGTTGTACATATCATTTCAGTTCACAAGATTTGAGTTCAAAAGATATTTATTTTGTCAATTTTTCTATTTCATAAATTTTCTGTAGTTCCTTAATCACTGTATGTATAAATAATTCGTTGATTTATGTGCCATGCAAATAATATTATATATTTTTCTCAAGTTATATATATACTATTTTGATGCAGATAATTCATAAATATATAGCAAAGCAACTATCTTTTTTATCCAAAAATTAGTGCAAATTGCATTCCAATGCATAAGACTACTATTCTTATAAAAAGTGGTGACATACATATCTTAACATATATCTACTAACTGATATGCATCACTTTTTGCCAGTAATTCTGTATTAAAATGCAAATATTATATTCCGTTGTTTTCTTGGCAAATAAGTATACAATATTAACTTTTGCTGCAAACCAAACTTTTCTGTAATTCGAGTAGTAGTTGTTATCAGTAAATCTTTATCAGTGTAATAGTGCTTTATGAATTGCCTTTCATCGAAAATGTATGGTTGGATCTGAATTGTAGGCACTTCAAAAAAAAGAAAAAGAAATCACTTAATGAACGTGGTGACATGATTTTTACATTTCTAGACACGAAGGTGAAAAAAAGTTTGAAGTACGTCAGTTTTAGACTTGCTGACAATGCGTATTCAATCAAAAAGAACTAAAAAGAATCAAAAAGAACATGGAGTTTGAACGATAGAATTAAAAAGACTACCGACTAACGAAATTGGATTTGAATATTTATGATAAATTTTGATTTGGATTTGCACATATTTGATAAAAAATTAAGTGTCTAAAATTTTAAATGATTTCATCATCTTATTATTCATTTTTCACCACTAAATGCTAGCAGTCACTGCCTATCATGGAAAGACAAGTGGCAATGAAAAAGGGAATTAGTAGAAAGTAAGTATGAGTGAAGCTATTTAGAAGACCAAATGTAATTACTAATGAGACATTAAATTTCATTTCCCAAATAAATAAGAGTCTCAGAGTACAGGTCACTTCCTTCAGCTCTTGAGGAGAGACAGTCTGCGTCTAAGGATCTGTATAAAAGTGAGAGAAGATATTGTGATTGCAAAATTTTGGAGAAATGAAGGGAAATTTATCGAATAATTCTCGCAAAAGCTATTATGTTTTTGTTGGTGAATTATGAGAACATCAATTCTTTGATTTTCGAGTCATTTCTGCTATGATTTAATAAAAATTGGACTCACGTAATGTTAGCAGCACGAGCACCAAATTTTGGTATTGGATTGATAGCAATATCAATCAGATCAGGAGGACTGTATTCACGAGTTGGACCGGATTTCGCCTCCAGCTGCCAAAGCCCGATGAACTCCATAATAGGCCTCAAATCCGGCGGTAGTTTTCTCAGATCATATCCTGACAACACTTTAGATCAGAATTCGTTTTAATAATTCCGGAAATACTAACCTATTAATCTGATAAATTCGCCAGTGCGCCAGTTGCATCAACTTCAGTGGGAGAACATCATTTAATTTGGAAAAAGTAGAAATCATAGGAGAAAAACTGTTACTGATTATATCAATTTCGTTCATAATACAGCTGTGCTTCAATTCACGCTGAAAACGTGATTCTTCGTTCGCATTTTAAATTTTTGAAAACCTTACGTTCTTCGTGTCGAGTGCATACTTCCTCAACGACAAATAAAAGCGTGAGGATTGGGACGAGCAAAGTTTTCATGGTGCTGAAAATCGGATTAATAACTTCTGCAAGCTGCAAGAATCTTAAACTTGCGTGTTTCAGAATAGGAAAAAAATGTTTCAAACGCATTGGATACCTTTGAAAAATGGAACAATGCACTGAGAAGGGACTTCAAAGAGAGTCAAGAATCTAAGAGGGGTAGAGTTTGCTGAAATGACTTTTGAGTAACATTTTAAAATAATCCTTAATCAAGTAACTTTACAATCAAATAATTTGCCCGCTGGTAACATTCATGTTCTAAGAGAGAAATGATCTCTGCCAGAAACATATTGCAAAAAGTTCATTTGACACTCAGTAAATGACTTTTAGAATTCTGAATCCAATTTAACAGACACAAGGTTTCAATCAATTAGATCGTCCATTAATATTATATTTTAATTTTCACAGTTTTGAGAATTCTGGAAATTTCAAACAAATCATTGACATATTCTCAATGCATTTACCACTCTCTTTTAAATATCTTCAAAGAATGTCTTCCTGAGGACTCACAACTTCTCTCCTGTTTGAACAAAGAATTATTTCGACTATTAGAAATTAAACGATGCTAAATCGATTCTTGGAAGGTAAAATCAAAAGATGGAAGAAGTTGAAAAGTGGCGTGGTGCCGAAACTGTGTCTTGCTACGTTGAATCATTGAAAAGATTGCGCACAGCGGACGGAATCCGGTTTCTTTACCAAAAGTTCTCCGTTGGCGAGATTGTTGTACGGTTACGTGTGACAGCGAAAAGTGCTGCATTTGTTGCTCTTATTGATTAACCCATAATATTAAATTTTGGTTGTAACAATAGTATCAATTATTGAAATAACCCGGAAGAAAAGAACGTGCATTTGAAGAATTAGTCAAGTCTGCAAAATTTTATTTTACATTACAAATACATTCCATGAAAGTAGTTCAAAAAGTTTTCCGGGCAATTTCAATGGTTGAAGTTAGTCTCATAATAGTCCGAATCATATTATCAACCCAAAAACGATTGATTGTGATCATATATCCTTTACAGGAAACAGGAATTAGATATCAAGTAGCAAATAGAAGGAATCCAATCCAAGTTTCCGCCAGACTATCCTCACCTTTTATAAATAGCAGTTCAATTCGAAAATTTTTGAATAAAAACCAGAAAAAAGTTGTGTTGAACAAATAGATGCAAGAATATGAATTAAAGAATGTCGTAAACAGCAAGTAGCATTTCTTGTTCAGATCTCACCTTGACACCACCAACTCTCTCTTCTGCTACACCGAACAGTTGTATAATCTATTTTACTCCTAAATTTTTCAGAATTACTTCTCTAGCGTGTACATCCTTTTTGATTGGTCCACCGATGTTAGATGTTAGTTTAGAAATTTCTGGATATTGCACTGATTGTGTTGTATTTTGCAATGCTGAAATCTTCGATGATACAAATGATACGTGGAACGTGAATCCGAATCCGTCACATGAAGCAAAGTACAAGCACGTACGCGTTACGACCAGGATTCCATTTCAATCGGCAATCGTAAGAAGTAAATGATTGTATATGATGGGGACTGCGTTAAATCCTGACACTAGGGCTTAGTGCTTTATGCGTGGTTTTTTTCAACTTGTTTGCTACGAAGTTGACTTGAAAAGGATGTCTGCGCTTTACAACCAAAACTCGTTTAGAATTTGTCAGAGAAGAAACTTCCAAATTAATTTACACAAGATTTTCAGAAGTCGTCACTACAGGAAATGTTGAAATTCAAAAATCCTTTTGGCAATCCATTCCAAGTGGAAATAATGACAGCAAAAGAGGAAAAACTCAGAGAATTCAGCTACGTCCCTTCAGCTTATTGCCAATTAATGGATGAAATGATTGGAAGGAGGACTAGGCCGTGGAATGCTAATCGTAGTCCTATAAAGCCGCTTCAGGTTGATTCGTTGTCCATATACATGTTTGGATGTTTTGTAGCTCAGAACTCTCAGAAAGAATTTGGAAGGGACTTTCAAGATTTGGGCTGGAGAAATCCGGGGGATGATGTGCTAAAGGATGGATCTACCAGTTTTGGAAAATATTTTCTGTAGAAAATCCGATGCACATAGTACCAACTAAGATAGAAACATGCCTATATCTCTAGGTATTGTGTTATTGGTTAAACAAATTTTTTCAGACTTTTACTTTACCTGATATGACCCGTGAAGAGTTAATATTTTCTCGATTGATGGAAAATTGTGCTTGTAAGTCGACTGTTGCAGCAATTGCTGGTTTTGGTCTTGGCATTGCTTTCGGTTTATTTACTGCTTCTGTCGATCCCCAGGCGACTATGGCAGTTGGAGCTGATCCTACCAAAATTGTATGGTTCATTTCTCTATTAATTTTATTGCACACTTGTAAACATTTGATTCTTCAGCTGATTTATTTGACTTCCAAGGGCTTAACTGTTAGAAGCCGCTCAAGCGTATTTCTTTGTCATCCTGGTAGCACAGTCTCATACAAGAGCCTGTGAAATTGCGACTGGCAATATAACTCATTGTGTTATTTGTACCGTATGTTTGTACCATATGTAATAACACTGTATTTGGCGTTGTTTTGTTGATAGTTAGATGATTTAATAGACTTAAATTTCTTTGTTTGCAGCCAACATTGAAAGAGATGTGGTTAGAATCAAAGTCACGAATGCGTTCATATGGAAAGAATTTCGCTTCTATAGGATTTCTTTTTACGGGCACCGAATGCTTGGTGGAAAGCTATCGAGCATGTAATGATTGGGAAAATGGTACTTTAGCTGGAGCGATTGTTGGTGGTTTGATTGGTCTTCGTGCAGGTGTAAGGCCAGCTGCTTTAGGCGCAGGTGGTTTTGCAGCATTCTCGACTGTTATTGATTACTATATGAGGAACAAGTAGCAACTAGACATTGGTGTAGATTCATATTATTGATTTCTGAGATTATTTTGGAGAAATCTTTAATGGGAAACTCTCTTAGAAAATGGATCTGATACATCTTAGCTTCGGTAGCTAGACATTATTCCGTTTTTTTATTTTGAAGATTTCAGGCAGCATTAGTATCCTTGCTGCTAACTTTCGAAACTATTGTCTAAAACAATAAAAATATCCCTAGAAGTTTTCGGCTAGCGGAAATTTTCATTGTCGTTTAAACCAAGCATTGCAAGCAGTTTATGTAAATATTATATCTATAATTGGAATGATTTAATTATATTTTTGATATATTCATCTTGTACCTAAAATTGTTTGCTTCTTTGAAAATACCTCGTTTCTCGCTTCTCTCGTCAGAAGTTAAAATATATGTGTTGTGAGTCAGAATACATTTGGATAAAACGGGTACTTTGTTTTTATTGCTTTTTTTGTGGCTTCCTTGATGTTTTCATTTTCATAACTTTCCAATTTAATTTGATGGAATTTATGAGTTGTTTGAAATAAAGTTTCAAAAACATGCTTTGAAATTCTTTCGTTTCGGTTCCAGTTGAATAATAATTCTGCAGTGAAAATCATCCTTGTTCTTTTTTGATTTAAACGGTTTATCATCTCTCAGTCACGAATATATTTTTAGCTTATATCTAAAGATGCGAAATATATATGGAGTTTTTTACAATGATTTCATGTTTTTTCGGTTCCATGGAGTACAGTTGATCAGGAATATGTCTTGGTGAGCTGTTCGTGCGATTACTTTGCTTTTTGTAACATGAAGCTAGGAGATTTCAACTTATTTAAAACTAACTAAAATTTAGTTGAGCTTTATTTCTCGATCCATTTCTGCGACGAATATATCTCTGGTTATTTTTGTTCTGTTGGATTCTTTTGCGTTCTTCGGTGGATCTGTTTCTCTTTTTCGTTTTTGATGTTCTGATCAAAATCTAAAGTTAAGTGTTTTTCAAGATGGGTGCCGGCTTACTGGTATTAGAAGTGAGTGCAGTATTTTTTCTGACGTTGTTATTACTAAATAAATATGGTAGTTGGCGACAACAGCATTTCATTGTGACGATCTCAACATTTATTAGCTGGTTCTTTTCTTTCATCATCATCTTTATTCTACCACTGGATATTGCTATCGTAAGCTTTATACAATTTTATGCTTGAATTTACATTCTTCAATACTTTTGGTTTTATTTGTTTTTCTTTTTTCTTTTAATCGACTCTAAAAAAAGAGACAGGACGGTCGTCAACCATGATGAAGACTTTACTGTATATTCAATAAGAGATATTAACCAGTTATTTATCTACATACTTAAGCTTTAAAATTTAATTTGTCCATCATGTCACACTGTGTTTCAGAGCTGTAGTATTTCATTAGCTGTGAATTATGAGAATTTGAAATTATGAGCTTACCTTAATGTGTTATTTGTTCGGATTTTCAGACATTTTACAACCGTTGCCTACTGGAAGAGGCACAGTTATCAATCGAGAAAGATCTGGACGCCAATAACATTACAAACCTAGTATGCAGAAAACCGACTGGCTTTGTACCTGATTACGTTTTGCTACGATTGTGGCGTGTCGTTTATTGGACAGCACAGTTTTTAACATGGTCAGTTTTGAGAGTTTTTTTGCAGTGAAGAAGAATGCAGTTGTTATGTACTAGAAATGTCGTGCATTTCCTGTATTTCTTGAAAGTTTTGCTTAAGAAATACTTTAAGCACTTCACTGTTATCCCATATAGTTATGTGCCACAGAGCTGTTATTGGCTTTTTTCTGAGTTTATTTTCCTGTCATGTAATTATTGTTTCGATTGATTTGGCTCATATACTGCACTTATTTTAATGTACTTAGATTTTTGTAGGATTGTATTACCATTGATGCAGAGTTACTCAGATGCTGGCGATTTTTCGTCACTTGGTAAATTGCGATCTGCTATATATAGCAATGCTGTATATTACGGAATCTATCTTGCTGTTTTCTTTATGTTAATGATTTATGCTGCTGTGAAGGGAGTGGTATTAAATGCGTTAGTTTTCCATTTTACAGAAAACCTTTTTTCTTGCAGAAGAATTAGAAATTTTTCGGTAAACTAGATTTACTGAAAATCCATCACCTTTTCAGTTGCTGTCCTTTTTCTCTAAACATATCTAATGGCATTCAGTAAAGAAGCGAGGGATATTTTCAGGGAACATTTGAAAGTGATCCTTATTTCTGCCTCTAACACCTGGGGTTTATTTTTATTGGTGGTTCTGCTAGGTTATGGCTTAATAGAGGTCCCACGACAATTCTGGCAAATGGGAAATCGAGGTATCTTTCATCTTGTCTCTTTTGAGCTACTGCTTCAGTCTTGAATATCTGTAATTTTCTGTGTGTCAACTATTATTGTATTGTAAGCAGTGCATGTTAGTTAGAATTTTGAGGATCGGACTTTGTAATTTTGATTATGGAAATTAGTAAACAATGTATAGAACGTGTAGCTGAGTTTCAAAAAAATTGGGAATTTCAGATTATCGACTAAACAAAACGTATTTTGATATAGATAAACTATCGACGGACAAAAACGACGCTGAGGATGCCGTTCGAGAGGCATATAAGTATGTGTAATGCTCACTGTTGAATGTATTTACTTATACTTTGTACAGTAGAAAGCTGACTTTGCACAAAGGTTTAGCTGTTAGCGGAGTGATTGCAGCATAGTTGGATGATTGATTTTTTGGTGTGGGTAATGTTGCAGCTCTGTTCCAACAAGCCTTGGAATTCTAGCGGTCTCCTAAATGCAAGAAATTGGTTTGTAAAACCTTTATTCTTTTTAGTTCCTTAGTTCTTTTTATTACACTTCGGATTAGGAATTCGGGCGAAGTTTAGAATACAAATGAGAAAATGGGAACAAAATGAATATACGTTTGAAACGAATCAACACTTGCTTACATTAGTTTGAAAGCAGGTATATCTGGTGACCAAAAGGCTAAACTTTAATTTCGGTGCTCAGGGAAGCTCGAAGCGTCTTGACGCTGCTGTGTAATGAGCATACATTACGAAAATATGCACAGACAATTGTGGCAAAGTTTCCACAGGAATTGGTCTCACAGATTACTTCGACATCGAATGATGGTTTACCAGTAGCTTCCAACATCGCACCAAATAGTGAAGCTTCTGTTGCAAACGAGAAATATTTGGTAAGTTTCCTTTCTTTCTGAATTTTCCAAAAATATGTTTGCAAAACACTGAATACTTCTACGAATCCATTGTTGATAGTCAGTCTGCTTTCCATTTAGAAAAGAGATCTTGGACCATCTATGTTCTAGCTAAACTAAAATCACATTCTAGTTTCGTATTTCTGTAAATTTGGCCACAGATATATTTTTGTCTGTATGTCTGGATGTATCCTAGTCTCGCATAGCATAAAAATATATGAAAGCTTTAGAACATTTAACAAAAATCTTCGGTATTTTGATAAATGTTTTTGCGTAGCGTGATGGGATATGTGGACATAAATGTAACTTTTCTTTTTTATTAGCTTCTCTTTCAGTAGCTTTAGATCAAATGAAGAAATCAGCTGTTTTTCAAATTTTCAATCCTTTTTGATACCATGAAGTTTTCCTTGATTTTTATAAAAATTATTTTTGGATTTTTTGATTCGATATTTTGTAGATACGGTTACATAAACGTGTTATTAATGCCGTACAGAATCATCATAGAAGACAAGCACAATGGAATGCTTTATTACTTCGAGCCTTATATCTAGAAGATATTCACCAGGCCGAAATGACAGGCCAATTTGTCAGGTCAGACATTAAACAGATTGATGTGGCTGTACATATGAATTTTTCTAAGAAATGACTTTAATATTCGATAATGAAAACCTAATAGCTATTATTAATCTTGCTGTTTAAAGAAACATATTCGTATTTTTCAAAAAAGTTTTGTTTTACTAATAAAAGCTCCTCTAACTTGTGTCTTTTCACTTTTTCATTTTCAGAACTAAGGGACGTCAGACAAGTTTTTTCCACTGTCCATCTCGCGTTTGCTTTTTGTGGCATGTATTGTATAAGAGGATTTTTTTGAAGGTTATTTATTTAAGTAATGTAGCGCACTGTGAATGCGTTCAAAGATAACTAATATTTAATCAACACAGGACCATTCCAAAAATCACTTTCCAGATTCTCGGAGTTTTCTCCTATGTAATAACTGGATTCGTGATGTGGAGTGAATGCACTTTTTTCACCATACATCCACGGCTTTCATTAGCAGCCCTGATTGTTCATCATGCGGCACACGATTATCATTACCTTCATATTCAGGTGTCCTTTTCTGAATGGTTAATCTTATGTGCTAAAAGAAGCTTCCAAGATAGGCCGTGGTTTATACCGCCATATGAAGCAAAGAGCAGGAAATGAGCAAGTCATGCACTTTCTGTCTTAATTCAAGTATAGTTAAACTATCTTTTCTCTCCAATCTCTCAAGGTATTAGTTATAATGAATGGGTTTTAACTGTGATTCTCATCAATTTCAGATCTATGCAGCTGTAATTATATCTTACCTTTGTATCTGTGCATATTATACAGTGTTTAAATTGCGAATATATCGATATTATCATCTGGACTCTCATCATATGACCGATGAAAATAGCTTATTGTTTAGCGCTATGTATGTATAAAAGCTTCTTCTACATGAAATATATGACTTAGATTTTGCATAGACTATACGAAAAAGTGGGTGCTAAATTAATTTGTTCCGATTCAACTTATATTGTATTGTAGTGCTAATTAATTGTGTCTTTGCTAGGGTGCAAAATTAATTACAGCTTACTGTGTCGTCTTACTCCGCCAATATGTCTTAATGTGTTGGGAATGATTCATCTTGACTCGCATATTACTTCAGATGCAGAATTTGGAGTCGAGACACAGTTTACAAAAGTAAGTTCTGTTTTTGTGTGGTCGTTTTTCGTTAAAGTCCAAGCATTTTTTTTGTAACATATTGTGAAGTTTTTTTTTTTCTTCAAGCAAGCATTGCTATTTGAAAATACTAGAATATTTTTGCATGTATTGCAGTGCTGGTGTTTTTTCATAAATGAAGAAAGTATACTTTACAATGAATTAAAAGTGTAAAAAAAATGTAAAAAAAAGTATAGAAATTTCTTTAGAAATTGGATAATTTATTTTTTGTTTAACAACTTCTGTGGTTCTTCCGTACATGCTTAAAATATCGTTTACAGTTGATGGGTCACTTAGATTTAATACCAGTTCTGGCGAAAGGGATCAATATCTATGTACCCATTCTGATTGTTTTACTTGCCCTGGGAACTTGGTTCAAGTTAGTTTGTCTATTTGCTTTTAATATAAGTTTTACTTCGCTTTTTACTTGGTTGTTTATCTTGTTTTGTTATTTTATATTTCACTGATTTTTCATATTTTCCTGGAGAATTCAAAAACTTTAGTTCATTATTATAGATTGGGAACTCGATTACTGCACTTGCTTGGCATTGATCAGTTCGTTAGCGATGATGAAATGACTGTGGAATTGATTAATGGTGGAAAAGCTCGTGTTTCGTTGGGTAAATCTATTCATACACTTATAATTTCAAAATCCTAACACATAATTTCTTTTCCGCTATGATAGGAGATATATTTTCTCAAATGGTTTTAAATTTTTTACTTAATATCCTTGGCATTCTATTCAGTTAGGGTCTATAGCTGTCTATAGCTCTTTTATTGAGATTACTTCTGACGTACAGATACGAACAGAAGGCACATTGCATTCTATGTATATATTTCTCGAATCCTTTGCAGAGCGTAATAAGATAATGCGTGCTGCTTATCGTGAAGAAAGGGATCAGTATTGGGCCGAAAAATTAACAATGAAAACAGCTTTAGGTGAGACTTAGATAACCTTTTTTTGATAACAACTTGCTTGCATTAAATTGTCGAAATTTTGCACTGATTTCTAATAAAGCTAATATAAACTTGGATGCTGGTTATGCAAGTCTGATGCTATTTATGAGCATTATAACAACGGCTATTTAATGATATTGGTATTGATTTTAGTTTATTCAAATCTTATCAGGATATCGCATGCTTTATGCTACTTCTGATTATGTGTTCTGCAGTTGATTGTTTTACACATATAATAATAAGTGTTATATTGAAAAGTATCTCGCCATGTTAGTGTCATATTCTCTTCTAGTTGCATCAGTAGTATATCAGTACTAATCGAAATTCCAGATCATGAAGCACTTAGAGGTGGAATTAGTGGTTCCCAGCCAGATTACCGGTTACCAGGTATTCGTGAATACAGTGATCGTGAGCCAATAATGGCAGCTGATAATGGAGAATATTCATCATTTGATTTAATCAGTAGTGGAGGTTACGAATTTTCTGATACGCATCCTTCACCAAATATGTTCGATGATCTCTGATTTTTAGATATTTTTTGATGTGAGAATTTGCTTTATAATTAACATAGATATTATTTGCTATTTCAGAAGCTGATTATTCATCCTATTTCAGAAAAAAGAAGTAACATTTAGGTAAATTTTCTTCGTAATCTTTCAAATTTCATGAATCCAATTTTTATTCAATTCTACTATTATTTCTAGAAATTCGTATTTTCTCGAAAATTTATGTCTTTTATGAATTTCATTTGTCACGTTTCTGGTTAAGTTTATCGTCTCTTTGTTCAATTTTTTGAAATTTATAATTTTTGAACCGAGGAAAGGTTTGGAGGATCAGAAATTTTGAGAAACAAATAAGAGGGTGTAAAATCTTTTTCTGATTTTGTAGACAGCTTTATTTTGTAAATAAGATAGTATGTTACTTGTCTTTTTCTTTCCTCTTCCATTCTTCAGGATATACTCGATTAAACTGGTTTAAATAGAAAATAACAAATTTTGATTTACTTTTATTTACTGGTCTAAAAAAAGTGTGTTAATTGAACTGGATTCAGTTTTATAAGAAATGGTATTGTGTCGAAATGCTATTATTACGAATCATTTCATTTCGTTTTTCTGCTTATCTAATAATGGAAATATCTCCGCTGATCTTGGTACTCTTCATATATTCCTTACACTTTCTATATTTTTTGTCTCAGAAATCATTATTTTGAATTGGCATTAATGGGATTTAAATTTCTTTGGAAAAGAGCATTTTCAAAACTGCATTTTAAATCCATTAATTATATTAAGATTGCTTTTTCAGCTTCAGCTTTTTCAGTTTTTTTTTTTATTAGTTTGCAAGGTCTCTGTGCTATTTATTAATGCCGATAAAAGATCTTCAAGGCGTTATGGCCATACTGGAGTTTAATTGTTCAGCTAGTTTTTAGTATCACTATCATGTTTTTTTTTTTGCTGCTAGAATTTCCTTTTAACCATTTTCAATCATTCTGCTTTCGTTACGTTTTGAAGTACAGTAAAATAATTTCAAATGAGTAACAGTGCAGTGCTATTCCACTGAAAATTATTAAACATGGGTTGAGTAGAGGGTCCGTAACTGCTTCATGTGAAATGAGCTTGAATAGGTAGACTTCCGCAATCACATTTAGAACAAACTGATTGCTTTGGGAAATAATCACCGAGGAATAGAAATTTTTTAGGATACTGCGGGTACTAATCTCAGTTTTTTTAATTTGTTTTAAACTACGATCGAAGAGATATGTACTTTATTTTCTGTACGCTGATTCTTGGCTATTTATTTATGCTGTCAATAAATGGAATATTACAAGGTTTTCCCTAACAGTAATTTTTGCATCTGTTGACGAAAGTAAATAGGAACACAAGGGTGAATATGAACTGATCTCTGGAGCGATGGTTGGCTATATCCGTTCTGACCATTAATTTGTTTTCTGGATATGGTAACTGAGTTCTGTAGTTTTATTCCAGGCATGTTTGAAGGGTTACTGCTTTATCCTACTTTGGGTTTTAATTTGCTGCGTAATTATTTACAACCGGTGAAATGGACATGGTATAATCGTATCGATGATGTCATAGTGCTCGGTGCGCTGCCATTCCGCAGTATGGTGAAAGAACTTATTGAGAAAGAGAATGTTGGCGCTGTTATTTGTTGTACGGAAGGTATTTGATTTCCATATTTCGTGCAGGAAGTAAGCTTTCTATGATTTTCTGGATATATTAATTTGTTAAGTATAATAGTGTGATAATTTAGAATTATTACTGTCTGTAAAGTTTCTGGCAGTAAATATTAAATGTGCTCGTGATGGCTAATCAAATTTATACGTTCTCAACTAAGGAATCTAATTATATGGCAAATTTATGTCATACTCTAGAATATGAGACGCAAGTTGTTTGGAAAGCAATGGATGAAAAGGAATGGAGAAAAAATGGTGTTGAGTTCTATGCGCTACCAATGGTTGATTTCGTAGGTACGGCATCTAGAGCATCAATCGATAAAGCTCTCAATTTTGTTGATAAAATCGCGCAACGTGGTAGATCAGTGTGAGTAATAGTTTTCTTACTTTGATTTAATTTGTTCAATAGTGGAAGTTCTGGAACTCATCAGATTTTTTATAAACGACAGTAGAAAAAATGAGTTCTGTGATTTATATGTCATTTATCACTTAGATGCTCAAAATGGGTTAAATATATTGAAAATCTTGGATGATTAAGGTTATAATAATTCTTTATTTAAGAAAAAAAAACGAAATTTTTTTTAGCTACGTACACTGCAAAGCTGGTCGAACGCGTAGCGCAATGTTTACTACATGTTATTTGATGCGTAAGAATGGTTGGTACCCAAATGTTGCTTTTGAGTTCATTAAAATAAAACGGCCACAGGTAGTGCTTGGAAATGCTCAGTGGCGGACAGTTAACGAATACCAGAGATATTTGGATCACAAAACTGGACTTGCTTGAATTTACTTTTCAGACTTCCAAGTCTGGAAATTTCGAAGAATTTTTGTAATTGTCTCATTTACTGATTGCCATTGCATAGTGTCATAATGGTTGACTACATGTCAAGTTTCCAAATACTAATTCTTTCATCGTTGTTCCCTACAGAACAAAAAAAATTCAGATTTTTATGAGGATATCACTTGTGTTGTATGTTTGAGCTCGAAACTTTTAATGGTATAAATAAATATATTTTTATTTTTGTTTTGTTCTCAGATTTTGTTGGCTACATATTACATGTTCAAATATGATGAAAGGTTCTTTTTGTTCATCCTTTTTGCTCTCACGCTTCTTAATTATTTGATTGCTGCCAGTTTTCCTTCTCGTTAAATTAAATGTGTTGTATGCTTTAGGGTTTTTAAAATATTTTCATTTATTTCAAAAATTATAGTTTTGAACAGCAACTATTTTTTGTTTTTAGCTAGAAATACCAAATTTGAGTTGTTTCATTTTCAAACTTCATTGGAATAAAGCATACGCTTTTTCATGTTCATTGAAACTTTTAAGTTTCTGCTGTCCATTACCAAAGAATTATGGAATTACCAAAAATGTTAATGAAACTTGTTTGAAGTGAATCTGTCCATCTTCGTGAATAATTTGCTAGAAACAGGTACTGATTCGTCTAATAACCGGTTTCTATTAATTTCTTTATCCCAGTTTAATATTTAATCATTTTGAATGAATTACTTAAAGCATTTTTTTTACAAGGATCGCCATATTTTGTTTTTCGAAAAAGTTTTGGTGTACTTCTCGAGTATGTATTTAATGACATAATTCCTCAACTCCATTTTGGTTTTAGCTTGGATCATCATTAGTGATTATATTTAAAAGGGTGATCTGATATGGTGATGACCAACACTGCTATTTATCAATTCGAGTTTCATGCTTATTGCTTTCGGTAATATTTAAGAAACTGTACTCATCGTGTAAAGTTCTTAAAGCGGGAAGAAATACGTGCACATATATTGGAACTGATAGTAAGTTTTCATTCTTTATCTTGCCTCTTATTATACAGTTGAAGAATTGTCAGATTCTATGTTGTCAAAGATCAATCTGAACGTAAACGCCTATTAAATACTTTTTATAGGTAGTAGGATTGGATGCAACGGTTAAAATACAATGATTATTGAGTATTTTGATTCATTACATTAGTCTACAAAACGATTTGTTGATGGATATATTATTTCATTTCACGAATTTATCGAGCAATTTTATAAATTTTGATGAATTAGGAGCTGTAATTAAAATTCTTTTATTCTGGGCGGCGGAAATCGTGAATTTGAATTTTGTGAGTTTTTAGAATGAAGGCGAAAGAGAAATTAGTCATCATTGTAAGGCATTAATTATGCTGTGGTTGGTTCATACTCTAGGACTGGTCGCTGAGCTCACATCATGATTAATTCCAATAATTTTTTTGAATGTGTTTTGGCAGCAGTCTATGAGTTGTTAAGGGATCTCCTGCCATAGCATTCATTTGAAATTGATTACCTGACCAAAGATCATCTGGCTTATAGCATTAAATCAATCTGAAGACCTAAGAAACTTCTGCCCAACTTTTAAATTTCTTTAGCAGAAATCCTTTTGCTCTGTCCTTCACGATGCTGTAGTGATTCCCAACTTTTTCTTTTCTTGACAACTTTTTCTTGACACCACTTTAACTTTTTTATTTGTAGCAGGGACCGTAAAGTTCAAAAATAATAAATTCTGTCAATTTGAAAATAAACTTTAATCAAAACTTTTAACGTATTAGTTGAACTTTGAGTAACATTACAACTTTGAGTAACATTAGTAACATTACAAAAAGGACGAAAATAATTTTTAATAGCCCTCATGGACTATATTTTAGTTCTCGCGGACTTTTAGTTGGGGACAGTACCATGCTGGCAAAATCTCCAAAAAACTAGATCGATTCCCGGCTATCATTTCTTCCCGTACTTTTCATCAATTCTTCCTTTTGTTTTACTTTCTTTCTCTTCTGGATTACAGAAAGTCAATTTCTAATCTCAACCATTTTTTCTGCTGAAACAAAGGGATTGTTAGTGTTTGTGGAGAAAAAAGATGGAATGATCTGCTCCTCGTTGGTTTTTATTAACACTAATCAGTTGTTTGTCTCAGATCACTGATACAAACGATCCTTCATCGTTATCGATTCAATGGGTTAGCTATTGGTCTGGCACTAATAAATTGATGACCTTATGTCAGCCTTTAGTTTACCGATCTCTGATCATTTAAAAGCTTATATCGTTATCTGCTGCTTGCATGTTTCTGCGTCCATTGTGCTTTAGCTTTAGTCGGCAGTCTGTGCCAATAACACCCTCAACCAAAAATAATTCGATTGTCCTTTGGATTGCTTTTGACAACTATTATAGATAGAGTCTTCCATACATACAATTATTCAAAAGCATTATTCAAGATTGCTTGTCTTTTTAGCCTTTTTTTTAATGGTCCAAACCTTGTTGAAAGGCTTTAGAAGTGGTAATTGTGGAAGTTAAAGTTTTCGACCCACAACTTTTCTAGGACTTTTGGCTGATGCTCCACATTTCTACTGATGTAGTAGCTATCCTGTAGCTTTTAAACATACTTTCCGGAAATTTATTTTCCAGCTTCCTTTCCTCTTTCTTCCTTTCTATTGTTCCCTTCCATATTGCTACAGACCTCATAAACTTTGCAGTACTCAGTGATTTTCTATCTTTCTGGCTAAAACGTAGAACCCATCTCTAGGGATTATATCCCATCTTCCCTTTCGTTATTTTTTTGTAGAACCAGGAAACGTTCTTTTAGGAGAATGTGATGTCATGAAGCAGGCCTAATCTTTCTGCTTCTGTGAACAACAGCGGGAAGATCCCTCAATTTCTGCACTAAAGCATTTTTGAGCAGAGAAAACTCTGTCACATTCCTAACCAATCACACTTATCATTTGATGATCTTTTATAACGAAAGTAGCACTTCGTATCTCACTCCTGCTCCAATACCGCCATGGAAAAATAGCTGTTCCATCATTATTCTTGCAATCTGCGCCTCAAATTTCATTCTGAAAAAAATAATTGTTATTGCAGTACCCTCTCTTTTTTTGAAGATTTTGATCTGTAGGATAGCAGCTTTTCTTTGTGACAACTCTTATGACGCTCCATATATGTAAGCAAGAGGAACAGATCAGACGATAGTTTGACAGCCTTTCGTGATGGATAACCTGTGACAGTATTTCCTTGACCTCTTTTGAGTTGTTCCATGGAATTTCTGCGACCTCTTTTGAGATATTTTTTGGGAAGTGCAATTACTATGACCTCTTTTAAGATGTTGTTTGGAAAATGAAAATTGGAAGAAAACATAAATCATGCGATGCGAATAATTCTTATCCATCAATTTTCACTATAATGTTTTCAAAGTATAGCAATACATAACCATTTCAGATTACTATGAAATGTACAAACGAGCAAAAGGTTATAACAAAAATCAATTTCAAAAGCACTTCACTTGCCTAAACTTCTTAACTTCTCCTATCTTGATTTGTAGGTGTTCGAAAATTTTTCATCAAATTTTTGGCTATGTTTTCGCGCAAAAGACATTATGGGAATTTTGGACTAGCTGTTATTTGCTTAGTCTAAAGACGACATGACATCTCCAATCATTTCTCAATTTGATTACATTTTCAACAACTCTCTTTCTCTTCGTTCTTCTTTTATTCTTTCCCTATCTTCTTTCCCTTTGTATTTTTCCCATTTTTTGATAAGCAGCAATGGCTAATCCTCTTTCCCACCCACACAATTCCATTAGATTCTTGTATACTTGAATGTCCTTAAATTGCTAACATCGAAGAAATGAGCAAAATTAAAAACTTTTTTTTATCTCTTTTTAAAATAATCGTTGCCTTCTCATTATTATGTCAAAAATCTTTATATCTTCTGAAAGTCACTGCAGAACAGACATTAGCATCATTGCATCATCCTTATAAAAGCTATTACTGCAGTAAGAAGAGCAGTGGTTCGATCTTGATGATTCCTGAGGATTGTTAATTGATTGAGTTGATTAGTTGTTTTGATTATTTTTGTTGTTTTATGTTGCGGTGTGGATGAAACTTTTCGAGGTGGTTCTGACAAATTAAGATGTACTTTCCCACAATAGTAGAATATACAGCTATCATCCGGTTTATTCAGAACGCAATGCTTCATCAGATATCTGCAATGCTATCAAATATTCATATCACTGACCTACAAGTATTGATAGAGCAATGAAAATAATCAAGAATAAAGTGAGGAATTGACCTGAGAATCTTTTGAATTTTGAAAAGAAAAAGGAATCAGTGAGTACCGGAAGCATTCCGTATTACGGTGTAAATCTATAACATTTGAATAAGCACAGAGGTATGCATACAATCGCGTTACATGTTTCAAAGTTCGCTGCAATTCCTGAAAATTGATGAGTGCAAGTGGAATTTCAAATTCATCCTTTTTTCAAATAAAAAAGTGTATGAATTTAGGTTTGATAGCATCTTCCTTTTGCCTGTAATAATTCTAAAACATTTGATACAGTTGACACGTCCTTTGTCACCATCCTTAGTTTTTGTGTTATATTTTTATCAATGATATGTGAACAAAGCCGAATAGTATGTATTAAATGAATCTGAGTATTCTACTGTTCGGTGATTTTTTCGTAAATACTAGAAGAGTTTTAAATACGATACTGATGTCGATGTTGTGGTTTTATGCTTTTTTAACATAGTTTTCTTATCGCAGATATGTTTGACATCACTTATCAATTCATCTTGACTCACATTTGATAATGTTATAAAGAAAAGTTACGGTAGTAACTGATCTGTTGTCTTGAGTTTCTGCCTCGCAAACTGCAAGAAGAAGTGAAAATGTTACTACCGACGTACTTTTTGTTAAACCCAGCTAAAAAGAGTTTTTTTTTTTTTGTAAGAAAAGTTGATTGTATGATAATGTCACTTATTCATTTGTAAAGTCCTTCCCAAAAGTTGAGAAATGCAAATAATTTAGCTACAGTACTGCACTAATAGTGCGAATGTTTTGTCTAAGAAAGATTCCATCATCAGAGTTAATTACTTTTCTAGCTAGACATGGAAGAATGTTTTGTGTATGATCAGAGCAGAATTCGATAAGGTTATGAGATTCAACATTATCCACGTTAACACAATCCGTCTTATTGCTTTCTAGGATGCATTCCTGATAATTGTCATAGCAATTCCAAATTATTTCTTTCCCGTAAGCTGCAAAAACAACAAGGAAAAGCTCAACGCTACCCAATTGCAACATTTACATATTAAAAGTGATTTCTTCTCTTATCAAACTCTTTACATAGCTTTGAATGCTATAAGAAATTTGCTTAAAATTATTTGATTTCTTTTTTTCGATTTCTTCTTTTGGTTTGATTTTTTGAAACAATAACTGCAAAATTTCCAAATTTATGAAAAACGAGAAGGATCGCAATGCATTTGCACTACCATTATGTACACTGAGGCTTTTGAGATTTTAACTTTGCGTTTTTAAATTTCTTCCATATAACATCAGTATTTCGTTCTGAGTACTGGTAGTCATATAGTTGAATGAAGTTTAGAGTAGTTTGCTTGCTGCATATTTGTCACTGTGGATAACTGCTGTAATTCTAACACTAAATCATAACTCCACAATATGATATGACTTCGAGGTATTTATTTGGGAATTGTAGTGGCACTTTAAAATACATTATTATCGGGATTTAATTTGAAGCATGTGAATATAGGATAAGGTTACAAGATGAAACTATTGAACTGATGGCATTTTTAGATTACGGAAATAAATAAAATTAGCTGGTCTTTGCAGCTTCATCTCCTTACAAATAGTTATTCTTGATGTTTTAAGATGTTATCTGAGATGTCATCTGACGAATGATCGATTCACTCTGCATTATTTTTTTTTGTGCGGTCCGGAAATTCGATCAGTTAAGAGCTTCATTTTTTATCGATTTGTCAATTATTATCGTTGCTTCAAATACCGCGAATACTTGGTTTCATCTAATTTTCTGTCTTGAACATGTTACACTTCCTGAAATGGAATGATTTGTTACCTTTTAAATAGTTTTTGAAATTTTATATTAATATTCAAGCATTCATAATGGAAGCATTTCATTGCCATGAAACAAATCGCTCAGGCCAATTTTTGAAGTTTTGTTACATTTCGGAATAGTTTCAAGAATGATTAGATAAGAAGAAACTATGGAAATATTAATTGTATGAACAAAATAATGGCAAAAATTCATCATTATCGTACCATACACTTTCATCACACTCATTTAAAATGATTTCTATCACTTGCTATACTCCAAACATTTTCTTCATATAAACAATACTATTTTAAGCATATCGGTTTAAATTTCAAAGCGCTTCTTCTGGAAGTACTTTACCTCTCACCCCACCCACCCCCTACGTATTACTGATCTACGAAATCTATCCTATTTCTTGAATTGTTCTTGCTATCCTCGGAATTTTATCATCTTCCTTTAAAGGATAGTAAAGAATAATGTGGAAAGAGGAGGGGGGAGGGGACGAATTGCTTTAAATTTTTTGTAGTTATCCTGAAAATAGCTCTATATACTGTAATGTAGTTGGCATAGATGTTCTCTCTCCTATAGCACTATGATGATCTTAATTTATAACGTGGGATTTACTGGGATATATTTTTACGCATTATCTTAAAAAAAATAACTTCTAGAATAGTTAGTTAAATTTGGAATTTAAAGTTTTTTTTCATAAATTTTAGAAACCCAGAACATTTCATATATATTCTCGAACAGCCCTCTAGTATTTGTTATGTCAGATTTGTTGTCGTCCTTTTGTTTTTTACACTATATCTGGAATAGTTTAGATGTTACTGTTGCTGTTGATATTATTATTGCATCTTTCAATTTGCTATTTAAGTGTGGAATCGTTTTTCATTGACTGAAATACGATTTCATCATAGAACAGTTTGGATTTTAGATAACTCTATCTGGTCATTTCCATTTTACTATCTACTTTAATTATTTTCATTGCATTCTTCCTGTCTGTCCTTCAAATAACATTTGTTTTTGCTTGAGGTATTTAATAAATATTTTTTCAAGACGTCATGCCAATAGGGCATTTTTATATTTTCATTGGAATTAATAAAGGGATCCAAATGTAATAGAAAGGGAGGTTTGAGCTTTTAACCATCCTGTATAAGTTCCGAACGGCACTTCACGCCCGGAGAGCACTTTGAGTAAAATGGACGAGGAAGGAATTTATGCAATAGCATTAGAACTCTCTCCTCCATTGTCATTTTAGGCTTTTCGGGGACATTATTTATTAATTACATGCTGGACTTAAGCATAGTTCTTAATGCACTAGTTTTTTTCTCAAGTGCATGGTAAATGTTAGTTGCTGATTCAATTCATCCGAGATGAATGAATTCCTAGATATTTCAAATCTTCTGCTCATCACTTATTGTATTAACAAAAGCATGAGTTGGCTAATTTTGTTCGTACAAGTAACACTATCAGTGACTTTCATTTGGAACCCACCACTTTCCTACACCTTTTTCATTTTGACTTTGGATAGGTCTAAACTTTTTGCCATTAATTGCCATCCGAGAAGCATGGAATTATAAAACGACATTCCTATGATGAAAACGTATTGGAAATTTTTTATTTTTATTCGCTTTCTGCAACAATTTGCATGAATTTCTCGAAGTTCTTTTTCTGAAGTTTGCATTCTTTTTGAATTAATGTGAAAAAAATTTTGGGAAAATTCCATTCTTTTTTGAATTTTACATCCTTTTTTGAAATCTATTTGGTATTTACTTTCATCATTGTCGGATAAATTTGCAAATGATACATTTAACTACGACCAAACTTCCATTGTAAATTGTCTTTGATCATTCAGTTTCTTTATACTTCCTTGAAATACTGTAAATTATCATAAGCTTATCATAAGTTAGGATGTCTCATATGTCTTTTATGAAGTTAGCTAATGTAAGTGGATGTTTAATTTAAAACTTATGCACTCCTGAATCATATGTGTGTTTCATTTAAAAGAGGTAGCACCCAATAGGACCCAAGACCCAGAGGCTACTTCAACATGAATTTTACTGTTATTGCTTGAAAAACGGTTTTTTTTGTCTTTCAGCTGCAATTATCAATTTTATTTTCAATTTCGTTTTGCTGCATGAAAATAGGAAACCTTTTTTGGAAGAGTTACAACAAGTTTTAACTTTTCGTCATTCTTACTTTACATGCTATTCCATTATTCAAACCAATGATGTACAGAGAAGCTGAAGATCAACCGGTTTTTTTCGACTAGTTATTTTAATTCGTAAGGCTATCAGTTGAAATCCTCCTTATATCTCAGTTGTATAACGATTATTTAAGGATTTGAATCGATGGAAAAAAATTGCAGGATCTCATGACCTAGAAAATTCACTAATTCTCTCCACCTTGGATAATCACATCTGTTTACCCGGGTGGGATCAGTGTGATGCAACCATCGGGAAATATCGATGCACTTGTCACTTGTGTTCAGCTAGTTCCATCCGAATCGACTAATATCTCTTCACAGTAAGTATTTTTCTTTGACCTACTGCTTAATTTCTAAAATTTGAATTGCATTAATTGCTTGACCAAGAATAGTTATTTTCCCCGCCATATTCAACATTGTTTAATCAGCATTATTCCCGATCATGACTTGTTTTGATGATTCTAAAGGTATTTGTCACTTCTACTTACCATTAATTAATTGTTATCACTGGAAGTTGACAAGTAGGACTGATTAAAGGTGGACTGAATAAAGATCCCTTTGACAGTATTTGATCAGTGAATTGGCTATATTTCATCGGTGGAAGAAATCTTTTCAATATTCTCTTTGTTTTTTTTATGACTTAAGCACGGTGCTGTTGCAGTGGGAAAATTTATCCTATCAATTTAGAGATTTATGTGCCATAGATAGAAAAGTAAGTTTTGTGACTCTGTCCTAGGCCTAAAGTAACACTTGTGAGTAAAAAAAAAAAGAGAGGCTAATTCTACATCTGACCATTGCTACTGTTGCTGTTTCCAATTTGAGGGCTTTTGCAGTGGAAGTATATCATCCTCGACAAGTGAGGGATTGACAGGAAAATATGAACAAGGTGCTGATCGAATCATTCGACTTGAGCAGGAACTGAATGCTGCCAGACATTCGATTGCTGAAAAGGAAGCCAAATGTACACGATTAAGTGAGCTTCAGAATCATGTAGATTCTGAAGTACAGGAGCTAACTGAGAAACTGTTCCAGGTACTTTTATATGTGTTACGAGATGTCTTTTTGAGTGAAGATGATTTTTTCCAGCAACTTTTGCTGTTTAGTTGCATATAACATTAGGGGTTCCTGTTGTTATTTAAACTCTTGCTTAGTAGTTGTAGTGGACATTGTCATGGTCTTAGTATACTAACCACTCAATACTTGTTATCATCAAAAGGATGTAAGAATCTGCGAGAGTTTAAGCATAATTAGATTAAGCTAAGATGAAAGCAAAAAAACAGAACAAGAGCACTATTGTTGTATCGATGCCATCCAGATATTTGGGACTGATTATTCCCGCTATTCGCAGTGCAAATATTTCAAATGAAGCGCAAAAGTTCCTCTCAGTAAAGAAAGTTACTTACTGTCATTGTATGAGACATTAACTTTAGAACTCTCGACAAGATACCCAATAGTGATCTGAATAACGCATAATGAAATTCTTCAGGAAGCCTACCGAATGGTCAATGATGCTGAAAGTCGTCGAGCTAAGGCTGAGAAATTACTTGTTGAAAGTCACTTGAAAGTATATTAAGCTTGTATTTGCATCCTATATTTTTAGTCTTATCTAAATTAGTTTTACGGATATTTCCAGGCATATACGACATTTCTCTCTCCCTCTGTCTCTCTTTCCCTCCCTCTCTCTTCCTTTCTCTTTCTGTCCACATGCTTCGCGACTTACCTTAGTTGAAACTTCGCATAATCTTTTACATGCTAGATTGTTTGCAGATCAGGTTATTCAATTTCATGAACGCATTGTAATTTTCAGGTTGATATGTTAGTGGCCGAAGTTGAAGCTTTAAAAGTTATCGTGAAGTCGCCAATATCCTCCTACTCGTCTCAAATGGCGCATTTGACTGCCATGACACCTCAGCCGACTGGCTTGGCGTCACGTTTTCTCGGCGGCACACGTAGGTATACACGTTCCATTCACCGGACGTCTGCTCGCTTGCATTTTTTTCCAGACGTATAGGAACTTTAAACTATAAGGACTGCTCCTCCCATACCCTTGAAAAAAATTAATAAAGCATAATGCTCCATCTAAAGGTTCTTCTTGTTTCTATAACTTTATTTGACTTCTGCTTAATTCTCCCACCTCCATTTTCTATCGAGAAACTTCACTTAATCAAGGAATGGAACAAAAATTGTACCATTCAAGTTTGAATGTTTTCTCTGAATTAGATACAAAATTTCGCTAAATTTAGATGTAACAGTTGTGACTGAGTTGTAAAGACAAAAAAAAAAAAGGCTTTCTTTACAGGGCGAAAGGAACGGCATAGTTCTGCAAATAGCCGTAAAAGTTACACTTTGCCATCATCAGGATGGAATTCAACACCACCAATACAAAGCGAAGAACATGAATCGGTGTCTGAGGTACTGACCACTTGTACTGTAACTTTGGTAACTTTTAATGGTAGCAGGAAACTGTTGCCTTAATCTGATATTGCTTTCAGTTATGTTTAAAGCTTAGTTGTTAATTAAATTAATTTCTTAGCCTTTACTTTAGATCGACCCTATTTATCATAAAGAATTCACGCAGTGGAGAGAACGAGGTGCTTCGATATATGACAGTACACCTTTCCTATCACGTATCATTGCAGAAGACGTTTATCCTTGTCTTAACTTTGGTAGCACTAAGGTAAATTACAGTTCTTATTTTCTAATTTAAATTAAATAAACGTGGATATCTCATTTAAAATCTTCAGATCTTTTTTCAGAAGATCTTAAGTTTGGTATTTTGGGTAGTACTCGAATTTCAAATTACCAAGGTAGGATATGTATCGATACATCGATACCGTACTTTTACTAAAAATATGTGCTTGTTCTGTGAGATTTCTTGTTTTTTTTTTATTATTTAGTAAGAAAAATATGGATGGGATCATGGGTTTGTAATCACTCTATAAATTCTCAGCTAACAGAACAAGTTCTGGATGCGATCAAGGCAAATACTTTGGAACTTGAAGCTATTTTGGAAGCAAAACCCGCTGTTAGGTAAGTCATGTGTTCTACATGCATTCTTCCCCATCTTTCTCCTTATCTTCCATTTTGGAGCACTTTTGCGAAGCTAGCTTTATCATATCTTTATCATATCAGTTACATGCTTCAAATTTACTGATAAATTTTGCGGAGGGGATGGCAATTTGTAAGTTCACCTTATTGCACATATCATGTAAATACTGGTAACTTTTAAATTTTTTGTAGGCGTTCTTTTTCCAAGCGTTTTATTTTTGAATTTCAAAGATTTTATTTCTGATAAATACTCGAAATTTTTCACCGACGTAAATTATTTCGATCACTTGTATTTTCAGGACTTGTGCGTTATCTATGGTTCCACGTTTCTGTCGCTATAAAATGAGAGTTAGCGGAGATACCGAATGGTGCTATATTTCATTGTTGACACGTAATCGGGTTCGTTATTTCAATATTCGGCTAGAAACAAATTGCTTACCACGTGTCGCATATTTCATAGATATTGGTAGCTGTTATGATAAGTCATAGGTCCCTGCTGTTATGGTATGATTTTATTGGCATTCCGTACGCTTAATTTTAATCCTGCATGAGATATGATTGCATCTTAACAAAAATAAGCCATTTAGATCGGCTTGTTTTAATCCTTTATTGAGCAGTCGATCATTGGAATGTGCAGGGCAAAGCATATGTAACTGGGTTTTTTTCTTCAAACGTACCAGAAATCGTAGCTGCAGTCGGCGAGTTTTGGTTTGAAACCTCTGGTACTAATGCCTTCCTGCGGTTCGTTATGACCTGACCCTTGGCATTTTCTGATTATCATTAGCTTTACATGGTAAGTATGACATGACCTTACTGGCATTCCGCCGTTTTGTTGAAAGAATGGAAACTTTACAAAGTAATGCTTTGAAACTTCATATTTTTTCCAGATAGCTGCAGTCTGTGATTTTTTACCTACATTCGTTATGTAAACCAAGGAATTGTCAAATGTGGCGTGCACGATTCGTATTGGGATATTATAACATTACGCAAAAATATGACACTGGCAAGACTTGGTCTGAATTTCATCCCGAAAATTGGAGGTTCACAAGCTGGAACTTTATGATTGCGAAGAGAATGAGTGGATTACCCAGGAATACTTTGCACATTTTATTATAACTTATTTTCACAAATTATTTGCTTAGTTTCTAAAGTTTTATAAAGAATTTTCTGTGACAATAAGACAAAATTTTTGTAAATGATTTCTGGAAGCTCAACTTTACAAAGATCAGAACAACGGTAACTAGAGCTGGAAAGTTAAGACCGTTGATTTTTGGACACTGCAACTTAGCATGTACTTTGCAATTAAGATATTTAGATTTGTTCCATGTTGTATGGTTAAAACATATACTTTTTACTTACCACAGATATAGTATTTCCGCTAATATCAATGTTGATTTTGATGTTGCAATAGCTAAAATGTTCATAAAATTCCTTCACGAAATGTTCGGAATATGCAATCCTTAATTCATTAGTTTCATAATTTTGTAACAAAATTATCGAAGTAATCTTTTGTTGCGTCATTTGGCGTCTGTTACTGTTTGCATTTTCCAATACAAAAGGTGAGGATTTCAGGAATTAATTCCGCCTGTGACCACTAATCTGACGAAAAACGCACCGCCCACTTGTCACCTTTACTGTCTGCTGAATGCGGCCCGTTGGAAAATGCATTTCGAGTAGTTGGTGCCTTGTCCACACGTGAGATGACTCAGATTTCCGTAAATTTCTGCTCACATGGGTTGTTTTACACTTTCGAGAGGTTTTTCATAAATTATACGAGAAAGCCCTTAAAACGGTAGGGTTTGACATGAGGTTTTCGAAATATAAGCTTTACCTTGTGACCTCCATAGCATTTCTCATTTCAGTTCTTTCCTAAAAGTTTTTCTTTTTCCTTTAAAAAATGTAAAAGTCTTGTTATCATCTGCACTTTTTAGCTGTTATTCCTGAATTATAAGTATAACAGATTCGTCATTACTGCATTTTGAGCTTTGGTGCTGAAAATAATCGATTGAACAGGATGAGAAACATCGTCAAATAGCGCATTTTATAGTACTAAATTTGGCACTTCATATGCTAATTTTTGCAGTAAGGATTTTTAGACCTAATAAGGGTCTTAAATAATACATGTCTGGTCTCGTCATTTTGTTACTATGTACTCTCAGATAGATAAAAACTGGAATATTCTGTGCGTTGAAATTTTGTAAACAGTCTATATTTAAATCTATAAAGATAGTTGGAATTTATTATGGTGCAGTTGCAACAGTCAAAGTGTCATCTGTCTGCTGATCAGAAAGTTCACTTTTTTCTGGGCAGTTTAATTTAAATGCTTTCAATTGAATCATCAAATATATGGATGAATCATTCATCCGTCTGTTGGTTCCAGCAACAAGGATTTATTATTCTGCTGTTTTCTTAATCCCACGTATTTTGCGTAGTAATTACAACCGCAGTTCAACTTTTCTATACCGTCTCACCTGCTAAAAGCCGTTGTCCGTTCAGCACTGAAATCACAATATCTTTCTAAACGACTTTGCGCTGATCGTACACGCGACTTTTACCTTATTATGAATCGTCCCACAAACCATTTTTATCGCTTAGGGAGAAATAATGTAAAAGTTAGGCTACATTAAGCAACTAATCCTTCTATTTGCAGTATACTAAGCAGTTCTGATCTTATTATCCAGCGTAGAAATCACTCCAAGTAAATTAGACGTACCGTCCTGATACTTTTGGCTACGGACCCTTTTGATGAGTATTTTATTGTGGAGCTATATTGCGTGTGTGTTATATTCAATAACATTCAATTGCAGAAACTGCTAATGTCCATCTATACACCTCGCAACGTGCTAGTCACTGGAGGTTGCGGTTTTATTGGTTCCAATTTTGTGAATTATATCTTTCGGGTTTGGCCACAAACTAACATTGTCAACATTGATAAACTGATTCTGAATTCGAATGCTTTCTATGTGGATGAAGAAGTAATCGATTCATCCCGATACAAGCTTGTCACAGCTGACATACGTAACAGTGTATTAGTTGGACGCATCTTGAACGAAAACAAGGCAGTGCCATTTAGATTCCAGTTTTGCAAATCAAATTTACTGCATCAAGAAAATAAATGGGAAAAGAATGAATGGGAAGCTAAAGCTTCCCATTTATTCATTCACTTTCATCCATTTATTCATTCACTTTTTCACTTTTGATCCCACAAGTGAAGGGAATGACTTAAGCATCATGCATACTGCATAGAGATAATTCCCATTTCACGACACTTAAGTCGATTTCATCATCGGTACAATTCATCATTACTTGCTACCGATATAAACTTCACAGGGATAATACTGAATGAATGAATATTCAGCAACCCAAAAAAGAAATCATTTGGTGGTACAAAGAGACGATTAACGCTTCCTATCTATGATTGTTTTATTAAAGGGGATAGGAGGAAGAGATGTCATTTTACTCTGACGGCTAAACGAACATGAAGTCGAATATGCATTTACCAACTGTATTTTGTTATTTAGCAACTAGTCATGTAATGTGGTTAAGTAAAGATGGAAGATGATTCATTGCTGTCCTGATCAACAGAAATGTGTCGAATTTTTTTTGATACTAAATAGGTTTTAGCGGTATCTACTAAACAGTCAGGATAAAATGTTTAATAGCATTGGGTCAAGGATAGCTGGCGGTAATTCTTGGATCTTGGAGAGATATCCCTACAATCAAACCCCTACTCCAGATACTCGATAAGCTGAGAAAACATTTGATGAACGGAAGCAGCGCAGTGGGATATAAAGAACTAACTGAAATATAAACAAGCATGCTTATATAATCCTTCAACTCTCTATAATCATTCAACAGCTTTCGGACTTATATAGAACTATATCACTAAGTCTAGTAGTTAATTCTCTAATTTTATTGTTATAGATTGATACTGTAATACACTTTGCTGCGGACTGCACTTCAACGCGATGTTATGACGATCCTGTGGAGTCGATTGAAAATAATGTGATTGCATTTATCCGGTTTATGGAGAGTATTCATTCCTATAAAAAAGTCGAAAGATTCGTACTTATTAGTACTGATGAGGTTTATTTCCTGCTGTTTCTGATTTTGCTTTCTTGCCTGTAGAATATTATGTGTTAATTTTTAAAGCCGTTGCATCTAAGAGGTCATACGAAACTCAACCAAAGTTATCAAATTTGGGTTTGGTATCAAATCAAGGAAATATCACTATATCTATTTCTATTTGAATTATTGAGAAATTCTTCTAGCTTCAATGACATTACAGACTTTGCAGCCAAACTTCCAGCAGACGTTATTTTTTCTCGTTCTTATATAATGTTTACAATTTTTTTTTTTGCAGGTATACGGTGACTCTAATCTGGTAGCAGATGAAAAAGGCAAAATTGAGGATGCACTTCTTTTGCCCGGAAATCCTTATGCAGCTACAAAGGTGAGGAAAGCGAGATGTCAACAGGAAATTTCTAGAATAACAGAAATTGAAATCTTCAGTTTGTTTTTAGGCAGCCTGCGAATCATATGTTCATATTTGCTGCGAATCGTTTGCAATGCCTATTATTATTTTACGCATCAACAACATCTATGGACCTAATCAGTGGGATGTCAAGGTTTTTTAGAATAACAGGCAATACGAAGCTAACTAACCTCCAGATTAAATTTCTGGATTCAAACTTTTTTGAATATAAATGTTTGAAAGTACTGAATAAATTACAATGAAAAATGAATTATTCTAAGAGATTCATCCATGTTATGAATCTTTAAGATTAATTCTGACGATTGAAAGAAATTTTAGGTAGTTCCTCGCTTCATTAAATTGGCCAGAAATATGGAAAAATTTACTGTGCAAGGCAGTGGGAAACAATTACGTTCATGGCTATATGTCGACGATGCTGCTGAAGGCATTCGAAAAACTGTCGAAAGTGGAAAAATTCATGAAATTTATAACATCGGAACTTATTTTGAAATGAATGGTAATTCATAGTTTAGATATTTCTATTATCTTAATTGAGCAGCACGGTGATATTGATATATTACTTCGCTACACCTCATTATTGCAGTAATCGATCTTGCACGTGTTATACAAGCGGAAGTAGACCGACAACTTGGACGAAATCCAACTCCCGTGGAATTTATTGGTGTACTAGATCGGCCATATAATGATTTACGCTACTTGCTTGATTACAGCAAAATTAATCTGGACACTGGCTGGTCACCAAAAGTAACATTTGAAGCAGGTAGTTTTTTGAGATATGTTATTTGTAAAAATATTTTCTATCTTTTTTTGATTTTTCCATTGAGAAGATGCAAAATTTCATTTTTTTTTCGATTCATGAGTTCTCCAAATCAGTAGCAACATAAGTGCAATTCTTTCAGGTGTTCATTCAAGTAACTCTGAAATGCACTTTTTAATCAAGTTTCAACTCATCAAGTTTTAATTTCAGTGAAAATGCATTATCATTGAAAAGGTCTTTCTTTAGCAGATTATTCAGAAACGTCCGCTCACTCATGTGGATTTTCTGTTTTTATTTTTCCGTCTCCCGAGTAAGGTTATTCCTTGAGGTGCTGAATCCTTATATTATTTGAATTTCAAAGGAAAAGACACTAATTTTAGGTATCAGTCGGGTTGTCGCTTCGGCATTAAGCCCACCAAAAAAGAATCAGAAGATGGTCGTTGTTATTTACGGCGGTAGAGGTTGGATTGGACAGCAGTTCTGTAAGAAATTGCTTGAGCGGAAGGTCCATTTTACTTTGGCCAATTGTCGAATCGGAAAGAATAGCGATGAAGAGGTGCGTAGTTTTTAGATTGTCTGATATCAAGGAAAGGCTAGAAATTAGATGTCATTAGCAATAAGTAAGGAGAAAATGAGATTTAGTTTGAAGACTGGTCCGGTCAATTCATTTTAGGTTTTGGATGAATTAAATGGCTTCTGTTGTACACATGTACTCTGTTGTACGGGAAGAACGCACGGTGGTAAATTCAAAACAGTGGAATATCTGGAAGGTTCAGAAGTATTTGTCTCAAATTCAATAAATTTATTACTGTTATTGAAATTAACCCTTTTTTTCACACCAAAACGTTTACTTGGCTGTCAATGTTCTAGTCATTTGAACTGTATAGTCTTAGAAATTTTAAGGAGGACCAAAACAAACTTTTGAGAATATACGGGATAATTTGTACTCAACGATGGCTTTAGCAAGGATATGCCAAACATTGGGTTTGCATTTCACTTATATCGGAACTGGATATTTATTTGCATATGATAAGGACCATCCAATAGGCAGCAAAGGCTTCACTGATAATGGTATATTGATTGAATCAGTTTTCAGTTTTCAATTACGGCCGTTATGGTGTATTAAAATGGGGGCAACAGATATTATGTTTGTTAGGGAGGGAGGTAGGAGTAAATTCTTGAATAGATCATTGATGTATTTTCACATATGGTAAGATTTGCGTTGCTGACTGAAAATATATTCAGGAATTACTTTATAGGAGGAAAGTCTATAGTTTGGTTTTGTTTGATGATTAGTTTTAGATTTGCCAACATTTTTCGGAAGTTCATACTCGGTTGTGAAAGGTATCACTGATCGTATGATACAGCATTATCAAGGTGGAATCAAAGAGTGCTTAAATGCTCGAATAACGTTACCACTCAATTTCTGTTTAGACGATGAGAGAAATCTGTTGACCAAAATTTTAGGATATAAGTAAAATTTTGGTTTGAACTTTTGAAGTTGCTTTTTTACCCTTCACTTTTGCATGTATGTTTACGAGCTTTGCACGAAGTACTTTGAAACAATTTCACTCATCAGATCAAAAATTGTTATTTAAACTTGAAGTTAATTTTGCTCCAAAAAATTTGGTTTATTCACTTTTAAGGCAAATATTCGACATTCCAGTATCGATCACAATACTGGATGACTGCATACCAGCACTTATTGATCTCATGGAAAGACGTGTTGGTGGCAATTTGAATTTAGTCAATCCCCAGCCGATCAGTTTTTCCCAGATACTGGAACTCTACAAGAAGGTTGATCTAACATCAAGTATAGCTTTATAAAAGAATCCACAAATGATTTTCTCACTTGATAAATGATTTCAGATTGTTTGTTCAGAAATACATCACTACGAGATACTAGATTCGAACGATAACAAATATCGTGAGCTATGTGCGACAAAAGGTAACTGCGCTTTGGATACGTCCAAATTGGAACAGCTTTGTCCAGAGATTCCGAACAGTTTCGAAAGTCTACGGAAGGGTTTCACGAAGATGAGAGATAACCTCAAGTGATTCAAATCTTGCCTTTAGGTAATCACAATAGACAAATCATTATGAGATAATTGCATACCTTGACCACATGCAAAATATTTCTCGTGAATTATTGGCATGGGATAAATTTTTAAAAATTAAAAATAAAATTAAAACCGACCTCATTTTTGGGATGATTATTGTATCAACATCGGACATCATCTCTCTGCATCACGACAATTGACAAATGCCCCAGCGAAAATTATTTAAGCAGGCGAGTAATTAACGAAATTTTTCATCCTGCAATTGAATTTTTCGAAGCCTTCTTTGATCCGTTATGTGTGGAAGTATAAATCATAGATCTGCCATTATGATATGTGCAGTTGACTTGGTAACTAATTTATTATGTCATAAATTCGTTAATCCACGGTTATTCAATAAATCACCTCAGTTCAGTACAACAACACCTTCGCACTAAATATCCATCGATGGACACACGTCACTTCCGATGCACTATTTTACAAGGTTTTACTTAGGTCGAAAATTATGTTAATAGTCTTTCGTCACCATTTTCGGTAACTGATACATTCCCGAGAAAAATGAATGGAGGATGAAAAGTCGGGATTAATGAAGGTATTATTCTTGAAGATAAATGAACTTTGACACCAAGCAATGCGAAGATTATGAAAATGACAACGCAAAAAATCGCGATAGAAGAACATGAAGAAGATGCCATTGTTAATTATTTACAATGTAAGTAACTCCTTTACATCCTTATCTCGACTTGAATTGAAATATAAGATGTAATATAACACATTTTGCATAATTTTCTTATAATAATGAAATGTAACGCCTCTTTTATCATGTTTTATTAATTTATCGCAATGGCTAGCGGTTATGTCACCTATCAAACGTTTTGTTTTATCATTCTATGCTTGATTAAGGTTTTTTAAATCATTTGTGATCTCTGTAACGTTCAAATTACAATGGCTTATTCATTTCAATTCTAAAAGTGAAATACTCCAACCCCTAACTTCTTAGGAGTACTTGTATAAAGAACCGAAGTAATGCAAACATTTTGTCTTCCAGTTAGCGTACCTTATTTGGGGGACACCTCCGCGATGTGACATATCACTGCTATTGGAATATTTAAACCATAAAGATTATGAATATTACTTGGAAGTGGGTTATGCAGACTCGTGTCTTTCCACAATGTTGAAAATTGGACCTGATTTTCGAGCTGAGAATATATTCGCTGTTGTGCAAAACCTGAATGATTTGCATCGTTACAGGCAAAGGTTGTGAACAAAGATTTCCTAATATGTTGATTGTTTCATTCGTATCTTCCTGAATGTATTAATAGAAGTACTGTCATTTCGTGGATCACCTCGTTATCGTATCATCTTATAATTTGCTTCATTAATTGGTTTGAAGTAAAGTGATGATGCACGAGCCTGCATTGATAGAAGCGCTACAAGCCCTGGATATTCGATGTTCATTCGATAACATGCATCCGGTTTTGATTGGTTTAAATCTGAATGTTACTATTATCGTCAATTTCGATAATACAACGAACCGTAAGATCGATAAAAATTTGATCAATTAGCTATTTTTGCTTTTCTTGGAGATAAGTCTTCCTAAATTTACTAGATAAATTTTATATTTGCGGAAGAGTTTAGGAACATTTTCGCTCTGTTTGCTAACATTGGGTTTCAAACTTGAACAACTTTCTGCTTCATTGAATCAGCGACACGATGCATTTATGATAAATACTTTCAACTGATTGTGCATATAAACTAAATGAATTCAAGTTAACCATTTATAACCAAATTTTGTGAAAATTCAAGCTTCTGAGTTCTCTGGAAAATCAAGGTTTAAGGTTCTTTGCTTGCATTTTTAACACTCAAAAGAAATGCCTAATACAAGTGTGAAGTAATTGAGCAGCTGAGAAAATTTTGTTATTCATTCATTTACCAGAAACTCGAACACATTATGCATATGTTTGTCAAAAAATCCTGAGGAAATTCAACAAGAAAACTTCCTAAATCTCGTTTAATTAACTTGTTTTTAACTAAATAGAATTAACAATCGTCATGGCAGAATCGGTGAGGAATCAACCAACTCAATTTCACTATTTCTATCGGGATCAGGCTAACGGTCTTTCACCAAGGTACACTGGTATCTTTTTGACAGCTATAGATATGGGTCGCAGTTTATTACATTTCGTTCATCAAAATAAAAATGAATCATCGGGAATGGTAAGGTTTACTTTGCTGAACATTTGTAATATTGTATTGCATTAAACAACAACAGAATAATTAGATATGATGAGTACATCAGATATTTGAACAAACTGTTAAAAATAAGAGTAGTTTCTAAGCTTTCGAATGTTTGTACTGAAACGTTTTCACATAATTTGAACTGTAAATGTTTATATTTCTTGTAACTGATTTAGGGACACGACGTGTTACAAATAAAAAATGTCGAGAGTGGTATACGTATTACGAAAATTCGTTCCGAACAGATTCACTTGAAATTTTCGCAATTAGTTGTAAGAAAATTTATTTTTGTAATGTATAATTTTTCCTAAAAAAGAAATATAATGCTAAGTTTTTTTGTGAAGTAATTAACTCTTAAACTGTGGTAGTTTTCTTCAAGACGTAAAATTGGTATAAAGTTTGATGTAAAATTTTTGAAAATTAAGTAAAGTGAATAACAAGTCCGACTCCTTGTTTTTTTTTCTTTTCTTTTTTCTTTTTTGTATAAATAATGATTTATAGATGGATCCAAGTGGCGCTTATGCATTCTACGTGATTCCTGAGAAAGATGAACAGCAAGCCGTTTATCAGACGAAAGTGGACTACCCAAATTTTACTCTTGATGCTCAAAAGTCATTTCAAGAAACAACAAAAATATTCACCGTAAATCAGTATGACCGAGTATTTCCAATAGATGGAAACGTCCTTCTTGTATGGAAATTTGCAGGCGAGAAAAGGTAGAAGAAAGGAACTAATCATTGGGTCTCGGCAATCTTAAAAACTTTCATCTGCGCATTAGGAGAATTAGGAATTTAAGAGGAAATTATTAGGCAGAATTTTATTAAATTCAAACAATCTGCATTTTTTGAAGCGATAATTACAGAAGCGTATGGTTGTATGAAGGAAGCTGTACAGGAAATTCGCAAAGGAAAAGCTCATTTCATCAAATTGGTTGCATTTTATCTGGAGTAAATGATCCAGTTGGGCAATTATCAATCAAAATTCATCGAATTCGACGTCAATTATAAGCTTCCCTCAATAAGATTGCATTGTTTTAGCCATATTTAATAAACAGACCTTGCAAAAGCTTTCGACGAAATAAACAACGAATGATAATATTGTAGATCATATATCTACAACTCGGACGAAAGATATAAATCCAATTCAGTTGTTGTGCTTGTATCATCTCATATTAGAAACCTTATGCAGCTTACTTTCTTCAAAGCGCATAAAAATTAACAGTTTTTTTAACCGGAAGTCTAATCTCATGAGGCCTGAGCAATAATGATATCGCCAATGCTCCGATACGCGTTACAGCGTAGTGAAATGTAGAATCTTGAACCATACTGCCCTTCATCGGATGGAAATAACTATCGCCAGAATTCTAAACAAAGTTTATCAAATTAACAAACTAGGAGTTGCTTCAATCTGTCCAGAGATAAGAGACTTGAGAAATGTCCTGTACCATTAGTTCCCGAATGTTAACACCAGTGAAATACTACATTTAGCAAATGAATGAGAAGAATAACTAAATGGAATAAACTGCTGTTAAAGTACAGAAAATAACAAAGAAAAAAGACATCCACAACAACCTTCCTGAAGTTCAAAATAAGTGACAGTTGAGGTTTCACAAAAGAATTATTCTGTCCTTGTAACGTGAAAGTTATTCCTTTTCTACGCTTGACTCATTCCCAGAAAAGATGCCTGATAACTTTATAAAAATTAGTCAATAGGTCTTAAGGTTATCTGCAAATGAAGTTCGCCGTTCACAAGCAGTGGAGAGTTATCGGTATAAAGTTCACTGAGATCTATCTTTTTCTGAATTTCGATGTCAGCACTGTATCTGAAATGATAAAATCCATATATATATATATATATATATATAGGAAAAGAGATAAGTATGCAAATATCACTAAAAAAATTAAAAATTTTGTAGAAGTGGCTCCATACTCTTCACCTTGCGTGTTTGAAATAATTAAATTGAAGCCTTGAGATCTATGGAAGTTCATTAGAAAGCCAAGTTTTTCTTCAACAAGAATTAAACTGTTACTGAACTGGTTAACACAACAGAGACATAGTAAGACGCTAAATATCTTCAAATATTTCAACCAAACAAACCTTGTTTTAGTGAAATTCTTCTTGGATGAGAATGACTGTATTACTTTTCGTTCATTTACAATCTGCATGAGGTATTCAATGGAGCGTGGCTGGTCGATGTCGTCTGAGACCAAAAACATCCTTAATTCTTCGTGCGAATTTGGCATCAGTTGACCAGTTAACTTCAGCTTCCAATTCCATGCTTGCAATGGAAAAGTGGATGAGCGAGTGGTTATCTGTAAATATTACTGCTGAAAAGAACACGAAGACTTTGCCACATAGTCAAGACGAAAGGATCTGAAAGAAGTTATGACATAAAAATGCCAATTATCCACTGTTAATGATACCATCGTTATAAAAACAATTAAAATTACTGTACAAGACAAATGTAAGCAGGAAGGACAAAGGGGTGATGGAATGCGGTGAATCAAGATATGCGAATACAGTAGGATTTATGGATCCATTATTTTTTTGTTGGAAATAATTCGTTATCGTCCGTAACGGCGAGATTACTCCACAATGGATTAAATTAGTTCTTTTCTTGCTGTTGAAATTCAAGTCTTTTTGGTCCCGGCAATCTTCTCGAATTTGGTTCACTGACAGATAAAGCTAAACTAACGTTATAGGCTTGGTCAACGCTTCTGTCATGGTGTAGGTCATCAGCTCGAACCGTAATACGTTTATCCCATCTTATATCTGTGTAATTTCGTAGAATAAATTGCGATCCGGTAAATTCCCTGAAAACTGAGAAATGAAAATATTTATCAAGTTTTATAAGAAAAAAGATAAGCAGGTTTTGTAAAGTCATATGAATTAGTTAGATGAACAAATAAGAATAGAAAAAAGTCACTAAGTTAGCAGAATTTTTTGATGACTTAAGATCATTTTTTAAATCAGCAGTCAAGAAATAACATCCCTTTCTTCTTCTCGCTTTTTCTCCTTCTTTCTCCCTCTCTCTCTCTTACATTCCACAAGTCATCAATTCTTAAATTCACTACAAAAACTATTTCATTTATTATTTCTTTTTTCAAAAACAAATTTGATCAGAAACTGCAGAGACCAGCTAGCTCACTTGCAATTAGCTCTACTTGCCAAAGGAAGAGCTTGAAACTTATAGGCGAGCGAAATTTGTGGGTGGAATAGTTTTGGGTACAAATCGACCAGTGGCGATCGCTCGACTATCGTCAGTTCATCCGCTGTCATGAATGGAAATCTAAAAAGAAGCAAAATCATCTTTTTAAAAGCTTTGATTTCATTGTGGAATCATTAATTCAAGCTGATGAATTAATTAATATTCTGAGAGAATACAGCGAATTCCAAAATGTCCCTGCAAACATTTGGATATTGGTCTTATTTACAGTAAATAAATTTTTATCCTATGGTATTGAATAATAGAATAGTGAGTTGATTCCACCTTGGGTTCAAGGTGGAATCAACTCAACCTTCGTTGCTGTTCTGCACTAGTCATCCTATTCTGCAATAGTCGAATTTACCTTACGAAAAGAAATGCTTTTGTAGCATGAGGGCTGCACATGTATTTCGTTTGCTGGTTACAACTTTTATCAAGAAAATTAGGACTTCAACAAAGGGTTTCTTCAGAAACAGTTCCCTTAAGTATTCGCAGCAAAATGCTGCAAGCGGAAATGCTAGAAGAATTACTTTTTAAACTAATCAATATAAGCCTTGGTTGGTCACTCTGACAGTGCAACGAAAAATTTAGTACTTTTCTCTTCTATTCAAGTACTGTCTGATATAAAGTTTGAGCCATTCATCAGCATTGAAGGCATTGTAATCCGACTGATGAGCATTTGGACTTTGAAGAAATGGTGATCTTATAAGCTATTAATTTCATAAAAAACCAACTTAATGAATGGAATAATAGAAGCCATCAACGGTGAAGCAGTATTACCACGTCTCTCGGGATGAGACGATGTCACCAACCATCTCTGTACAGCCTCCCACAGACGAAATTCATCTGAATTGCATACAAATAAAATCAGGTTTTATGAACTTCTCCTAATATTACTATTTATCGGACAATCTATATTTGTCTTCCAGAATAAAGTAATACTTTCCGTATCCATCTTGAAGATAAGATATTTGATTGATTAATGTCGTTGTTATCGAGTTATTGAATTTTCATCTCAGATTTCTTCACATAAGAGCTGTGATTTATCAGCTTCATTAACACTACTTGCTATTGATGAGAAATTACTTGACAAGACAAGATCATTGGATCTGAGCAGTTCGATGAGCTGATCACGATCCAGCGACAACCATTCCTTTTCCCACTCTTCGCTAACTATCATCTCTTCGAAATGCCATGCTAACGCTTTGATACAAGCACTTATTAATGGCTGAAGCAAACAAACATTTTAAACAATATTCAAATAGTATTGTTGCGAACAAGAACATACTTGGTGGAATGCTTTTGTGGCATAAGAGAACCACACATGGAATAATTCTTTGGTCGATAGTTCCGGTAGTATACTGCTTACAGCATAATCAATACAGATCTAAATAGTTTCTTATCAAATTTCAATCTTTTGAAAATCTCAAAGAAGTTTTGCTAAATAGGTGCCATCCTATCTCTAAGAAGATTGAAGGACAATGAAGACGAAATAATTATATGGACAGACGATAATGATCAGTAGTGCACTGTAAATAAATCAGTTATCATGGAATTTTATAGACAAATGTCTTTTGAATTTAAATCAAAAAAGTATAGATAGGAAATGAAGGTGATTAGTATTCTATAAACAATTGAATAGTTTCACTTGTTTCATATCATACTCGTATCAGTGATAAGACAGTGATGATTTGACATGACATAAATATAGAGCGAAAAATCTTGAAAATTCTAACAAATCGAAATAAGACAATACAAACAAATATGATAATCAACATCAACAGTCTCTACTGATTATATTTGTTGCTTGCTATCAAGCTTATTGACAATGGAAAACACTAATGGCCGATTACAATCAGCAACATTATCAATTCATCTGTCTAATGAACAAATCAAAAAATACATATATAAAAATAGTTTAGAATAAATTCAGTGTGGTGAAAAACGAATAATAAACAGTAAGAAGAGAAAATAGTTGACCACAGTTTAGTTAAAAAGAGAGAAACCGGAAACGGAAAAGACGGAGAGAATAAGCATTACCTTCTTCAAGTTGCTAACGTTGTATTTATCAGCGAGAATAAGTATTGATAATGCATTTTCGGGATGTAAAAACACATGATTGCAATAGAGGAAGCGCAAAAATGCAGCAAAAACTCGCTGGCAGGGTGGATCTTCGACAAGTTCTAATTCCTGCAATTACTCCGTTAATTTTATTCGTTCTTTTCCAGCTAAATATCTCTTAGGAATAGAATGACATGATGTCAATTCTCTCAATGAGTATAAAATTGCAGATGGTTCATAAGGAAGCGGTGCGACATGCAAGTGGATGTTACAGCATAAAGCACAGAAAATGGAATTTACGTTCTCATTTTAGTCTTTGATTTCGTCAACTGTACACTTAGAAAGGGATCATCCTGTCTCCCATTTCATAAAATACAAAAATTAGTAATTTCCTTCCATTGCATAGCTTTTAGTAAAACAAAATCTGTAAAAAAGGTATGACAATTTCCTAAAATCAATGAGAAATTCAGGAAAGATCAAAATGCTAGAAACCTTCTTATCTCCGTTCCATTTTTTGCTCAACATTTGATCAAATACTTCGCTGCTTTTTGTTAATATTATTCTGTGTGCTGGATATCTAAAAATTGGATTGAATTTTTTTTAATCACCTTGTTTGATACGAAAAATCATTCTTTCTATCTTAATTTTCAAAAGACATGCACCGAATTCACGAGTGAGTGATTTCTTTAAATTTATAAAAATTTCATAAAAATGCAACCGCGACATACATTTCATCACCGACCAAAAGTGCAACATCACTTAGGTGTGCATTGTTGAAATATTTTGTGAAATCGTTCAGTGCTTCACGATCATCGGCAAAGCAATCCATGCCTGAATATTTGAAGATTAAAAAAAAATGAACGGAAAATTATTCTTTATCAAAAGTTTTCATTAAATCATAATTTTTATAGTAAGTTTGTAGGTTTGAAAACCAATGATTTTAAAAAACACATATGAGCATTTAGATTGGACAGTAACTTTAAGTTAGTTAGAAGGATTAATTCTGAAACAATTTGTTAATTCCGCTGTAAATCTTAAACAAATAACATTTCTTCCAAGTTTTCATGAAGGGAATCTATTTGAAAAAGTAACTATTTGTTAATATTTAATATAATTTTCTGGTACAATCAAATTCAATTTGATCCTCATCCATCTTATCTTTACCTAATTCTTATCAGAATTTGACATATTGACATCAAAAAACACAGAGGTACAGTTGTACTATGAAAGCTCTCCATCTCCCGATGCAAATATTTTCTTGGAACAGCTCAGGAAAAATCCGCTCAAATTCACAGGTTATGAATATTGTATTCAATTTATAAAGTCCAACTCTTCCGCTGAATTGTTACTCAGTTCGAAAGAATTTATATTCCTTTTCCGGAATCCTTTTTTTAATTTTCTTTTTTAAATTATTCACGATGAGATTTGGCGAATATTTATGACATATGACACTAATGAGACGAATAAAACAGCCTTTGTTTAAAGAAAGACCGACATTACCAAAATGATCACAATAACAACAATCCTCGCCAGTCTGTCAACAAAGATACGCAAACAAGCAACAGACGTTATAACTATCGATAATAAATGTAAGATCCTCGTAACACGGTAATTTAATTAATGATGCTATGAAGGCTTTTCAATCTAATTTGACTACCACAGACATCATAGGATCGCTTCTATCAAATCAGTTTGTCAAAGGATCAGAAAAAAGTACTCGTTTCGTGACTTTTCACTCTCTCTGCTGGCAAGAAGCTTGTAGTGTCTCATCATTGTTCCATTCGTACCGGCCAATATATTTGTTGAAACATAGGGCCCTTGAGACATCAGTTAAAATCAACAGGAGAATTGTCAAAGCAAGGTTGATGTAAGCTTAGATTAGGTAAAAAAGTTGTATAAAAAAGACTTTGTCCACAACTCTTTCCCTAACTTCACGAGCATGGAAGAAGCATGATACTGTTACAATCAGATCTCCTATGTGTAGCCTAAAAGATGCAAAGGAATCAGTTCGCAAACTTAATGTCACATCGGCTTTCGTACAGAAAGAAAAACTAAATGATGAAATTTCTTAATTTTACTGCAGTGAAAAGTACTTCGAAACCACACAAACTTCGAAACTCGAAACTCTGTGTACTTTTTCAACTATTGAATCAATAAAGTATTTTTCTGTTTGTTCACTTAGGAAAAAAACAGCTGCGCGAATTTTTAAGTTTTTTGCTTAGACTCTTCAAAACCTTCTTATTAATGTTCAGAAATCATTACAAGGGAAGCTAAGTTCATGCTTATATGGAATAATAGAAGTGTCGCCAATACAAACATAACAATAAACGAACTTATTTTAGAAGAAAATTTCATACTAAACAAAATCCATCAACTCAAACATTTATTCATTACAACATATCAAATTCTATCAGATTTATACAACTGATTAATTTTATCACCTAATTTGAATAGCTTTTCATGAGTAATCCACTATATGAGGACTAATCTCAAGAAGATTAGATTAGTAATCAAACTTTGACAAATCTCCAATTCTTATCCGGTGAATTTTGCTGTGTAGATCGTTTCACAGTGCAAAAACAGTTCTTTTTTAGGAATATACTTTGGCCAACGTTTTTCCTTTAGCAAATGATAATAATGATGGCCAGAAAATAATCTCAGGTCATTTTTTAAAAAAGCAAAAGATTGAAGGGAGACTGTAAGAAATTCCACTTAGGTACATTGCATTTCTATTAAATTTTCCTTTCTTAATTAAAATTTCATTGAATATTAAATAAAATTAGATGTAACTGTGTAATAGAAGTAAGTTTAGAAATTATTCTTGTATAACCTTCATATGCATTAAAAAAAATGCAGCACTAAAGTAATATGGTTAAAAAGTATAAAATTCAAATAGAAATGAAACAAGGAGACGATACTGGAGACAGCAATAAACCAATATATGATATGCAAATTATACTACGGTTGCTATCTCCCATTTCTGCGAAGAAGTTCTCACTGCATTAACACAAAGATCACATCTTAAAATTTTCATGTTAAATTGTGATATTTAAATACATTGGGATTATTTGTTGGTCGCGAAATCCACTAAAATAATAGCAGTAAGTCAAAAATATTTTGAATTTCACTATAAGCAATTAAACGAATGAACAAGGACTATTCTGCTTGACCTAAACCAATTCAATCTTCCGATCTTAGTTTGTTTAAGTTTTGAGTTTTCTAGAATCAAATTTCACTCAAATTGAACAAATGATATGTGAACGTCAAATGGACTGCTTATTTAAACTAAACTAATAGAAAATAGGGAGGAATTGTTCAATAAATATTAACCGTTAAAATCACTGAACTAAGGAAACCATGAGATATATGTTGAGTTGCAATTGAAATTTCATGTTTATGCATTCAAATGCAACTAAGATCAACAATTCAGACTAAATTTTAAGTACATTTTCGAATGTAATGAATACATCAATGAAATATTTAAAATGGAAGAAAAAATAGAATTACTCTATTCCTTTGCATGAATCTGAAAAATAAAAGATATTACTTGGGTACAATATTTGCTCCTCATAAAAAAATCTAAAATAGAAGAGGATTAGCAGCTATGATAAACAAACCTGGAAGATCGGTCAGTTCTGGTGTAAGCGGATTGACAACTGCACGAATTTTCAATTCCTGTCCCATCATAATTCTAATCTGCATAGAATCTTCGTCTTTACACGAAGAACTTGAATGAATAAGTATTTCATAGTAAGTCAGATAAAGCAAGCAAGCAACTTATGTAAAACATGATAACAATGGTAATTGACAATAATTAGTAACGATTGTTAGTAATAATTATTAGTGGTAATAATAATAGATATAGTCGTAATGTGCTAACTCTGGACTTCCAAAGAGAAATTAGTCTAATGAACTGAAATTCCATTTTCATATCCTAGCCGTTTAAGTTTAAGACTCGGATAATATTATCTAATTTCGGAACTTCCGATCGGTCTATAAGTCAAATCTCGTCATAAATTATGACATCGTATTTTGCAAACAGGCACGATATCATTGAAAAGCAAAAGTTTTGTAGAAAATATGAAAATTTTAAAAACTTTCTGAAAACTGCCCACAACTTCAAATATAAGCAATGCCAAAAATTAAATTGCATGAAATCACAAAAGAAGTTTTGAAATTTTGCTAATGTAAAAATTAATATAGGAAGAGAGAGCTAAAGATTATATCAAAGAACCGAAGACGGTTTTAACCTTCATAATCAATAAACATAATGAAAGCGTCTTTTTATTTTTGCTTTATTTAAACAGAAACTGACCAATTTTGGAAAGTCAACAGCTATCGTTACTGTAATTCCTTTGAAAAGTTACTCTAGCATAATTCAAATTAAAGCGTAATGTACTGGTCAGAAATTATAATTTTCGCTGAGTCCACTCGCAATCTTTTGCACACCTGCAAACTGGAAAAGAAGTCGTAAACTTTTAAGCAATCTCATACTGAGAAATAGCACTTGACAGAAATGGTACCCTACTTGACAAACAAGATGTGTACCATTTTTCGATTTCGTGTGATTCAAGGAGAGATGAAAATAGTCATTTCGTTTTAACCATTTACGAAGTTAAAAAGGAAAATAGAAGTGTGCTCATTAGACAGAAAGAAGATTGTCGCGGAAGTTTTTTAAGGATTGCACAGATAAATAGTTATGATAAAGGTTTCATTGATTGACGGAGGATTTATTCTTCATATAAAATTATGAGAAAATTATCAGAGAATGCCACGGGTGGGGCCGATTACTAGGTTGTTCTTTTATCGATACAAGCCTAATATCAAACCGGTAATCAGCTTTCAATAATAATTTCAATGTCAGAATGCTCTAAATTCTCTTCTATAGCTTCTAGCTTCTAGCTGTTGAAGTATTCTTTCGATCGCTTCTATGACTCCATTCTCGATCATTCTTGATGAAGTCTCATTACGAATGATTCTTCGAAATTTTCGATTAAAACTCCTCGTATAACGTCATAATTTTCTGAAGCAATATCATAGCTAGCCTCTAATGGCTTGCAAAGCATTCACTTTGAAATGAGAGATTAGATAATTAACTTTTTTGAATATTTGATATTACCTGGAAATGCATTGCAGCATCAAAGTTACTCCAGAATTTTTTTTTGGGTCACCAATAAATGTTGGCAGTTCTTTGTTTACGTAACCCTGCCTATGTTAAAGTACTAATTCAGAGTAATTCTTGTAAATAATTAGAGATATAATAGCTCTCTCTCGTCATTTATCAATTTTAAAATACCGTCATCCTCTTCGACTATCTCCCTATATTTATCTTCCTCCTTTTCCTTTGTGAAATTGCGATTTTTTGAATACATTCTAATCATTTTCCGTTGGTTGACTCGAGAGTGCCAATGCATAGTTCGAGGCACTTTATTCTTCCTTCGACAATTCTTTTCCTCACCTCAAATGATCTGGAACATTAGATCCATTTCTTTGATTCCATCGAGAAACTTTTCTGATCTTCCTTTTACCGGTTACGCACCTTTGATTGAAATGGTGGATATCTTCCGACTCTGGTATCAGCATAATTATTGTCATAGAAGTTTCTGATGATTGCCAGCGACATAAAACTTTGTCCATCCGCTGTGTAACTTTCTTACTCAACATTGTTTTAATTTTGAAAAGAAAGTATAAACATGTAATTGGGAATGCTTTAAAAACAAAACAAGTACCTTTTTTGTATACTTTGATACAAAGTTTTCTATTTGTGAAAGTTTTTGAAAATTTCTAACAAAAATCATGAGAAGTTAAACTAGACGAAGACCATCTCTC